TTGGGAGAAAAGTAAAAAAAAAAAAAAAAAAAAAGAGAAAGAAACTTTCACCAAAGGGGATGATCTAAACAGGAGTAACATTGGTGTAAATCCACTTCCCCACGTCATGCACACATCTTGTACACCTCTGAATTGTCTCCACTCTAGTTGTGGTGCGACAACCCCTCGATGGGTAAACGATCCCCACTCGGGGCAGGTCTGCATGAAGGTGTACCTTCTTCACCTGTTTTAGGCGCAAAATTAGGAGGGACACAAAAGTGGGATGGTAATACATAACAAGGTACACTAATGCTAAATTTTGGAGAAAGTACTTATGCCTTCTACCCCTCTTGCGGGTTTCTTCTTTCGCCTTGAGTGTGCCTTCGCCTTCTATGTCTTCTCCAAGTTCCACTTCCGATTTCAGGTTGAGGAGAGATGCGATGAGGCAGTCCTGGAGGGCGAAGGGGATGGAGGGGGCGGTGAAGCAGTGGCGCAGTGAAGCAGTGATGGAAGTCGCGGCAATGGCGGCACTCACGGATTAGCACCTCGTTGCAACCATGCCTACCTGCAGAAACAACGCGGGGTGCTTGTCCAAGAGGGCGTCCAGAACGGAGGAATCAAAGCGTAGAAACAGTAGCGACGAAATGGTGAAAAGAACCTTAAGCGCGAGGAAAAACCCGCGCTCGTCCGTTTGAATCCGCCCAACGCAACCATTGAAGTAGTTGTGTTCGAAGAGGTAGGGCTCTGAGGTGGCAGCCTCTCCCTTTGGGGGCATCAAAAAAGAGAAGTAGTAGTGTAAAAAAAAATTCACAGAAAAGGAGAGGACTCTGCTTATATTTCGAGTGAACAGTTGGTCTCCCCTCCTTTTGTTGTACTCGTCCTCACATATGATGTAGACGAAGGGTACTCCGTTCAGCTTATCAATTGGTATCTTGCACGGTAGGACCAAATCGTAATCTTTGGAAAAAAAATTATGAACATGTTCAGGTGGAAATTTCACAAAATGATCATTTTGAACAATCTGGACAGACTCTACAACGTTAAAAATGCATCTGTAAAAAATGTCATAGAGGATTTTTATGTGCACAAGGTTTCTCATGGTTGGATCGAGTATGAGGAAAAAGAGCTTCGTTACAAACTGCTTGTTGTGGATGTATCGATCTGCATGCACGTTCTTTACGATTAGAAGCAATGCCAAGAAATCCTTTTCGTCCTCTACCCAAATGGCGAACAACTCCAGTAAGCTCAGAAAATCATCCACATAGTGCCCATTCTCGAAAACTAAATAATTGCAAAAGAGATGCACCATTGAAGTTAGTTGTTTATCAAACTGTCCTTTCAGCATTTTGAAAGAAGCGCAAGATGGATTCAATTCGTGGAGGTGCGATTTCACATCTTTAAAAAATTCAATGACAACTTCGATCGCTTTTTTGATTTTTCCTATAATGGTGTGCAGTTCGCCCATGGGGAGGTGCACTCGGGGGGGGGTCTCCCCCGTTGCGTCCACTTTTTGCCTCTCTGTTGTGTCCACTTTTTGCCTCTCTTTTGCGCCCACTTCCTGCCTCCCTCCCGCGTCGACTCCGTCTTGACTGATAAAATTAATCACATGCTCGATATTGCCGCAAACAAGTGGGATGATCTGTCCGGAGAAGGTCCCCCCCTCAAAGGGGCAAGTGTCCCCCTTACCGCTCTCTCCCCCCATGTGTTTCATCACCTTTTCTGCAAATAAGTAAAGCTCTACGTTCATATATGATAATGGCGTTTTTAAAATGTCGACACTTTTCTCATTTAGGAAGGAATAACTCAGACATGAGTAGACAGTGGAGTAGAGCGTGTATAGGACCTCCTTCTCCTCTGGAACCTTCACTTGGGAAAAAAGATATATTACATTGGCATACAGTTTGTATACACTCCTCTTTTCCAACATGTGTACACATCGTTGCTTCTTTATGTGCGCATTCAGATTGATTTGACACTTCATTGCGGTTACTCTGCTTTGGCTGTACGTTTCGATGACCTTATTGAGTAAGTGGAAGTACTCCTTCACGAAACGGCTCCCGCTGAGCTTTAGAAACGTATTGTTTAGTAGTAGTAGGGACATGTCTACGTTTCTGCTGTGCAGAAGGAACTTGGCCCCCCGCAAGTGGGTCATCATTTGGGAGGCTTCGTCTAGGGTGTGTGCCGCCCCGTTAGGGTGTTCCCCATTTGGGAGTTCCTCATTTGGGAGTTCCCCATTTGGAAGTTCTCCATTTGGAGTATTTCCCCCTTTAGGAATGTTTTCCCGTTTAGGGGTATTTACCCCATTAGAGCTGCCTACCCCCGCGCGCATCGCCTCCACCAGTCGGATGTTCTCGCTGAGTGCATCGAAAAGGAGCTCCACTAAGCTTACGCGCTTGACGCGCTCTTCCATGGAGTCGTCCTCCGCTGAGGAGTCCTCGTCTCCGGAGGAGCAGTCGTCCATGGAGGCATCCCCCTCGCACACCTTTTCGCCTACCTCTTCGAATACCTCTTGGCACACTTGTTCTCCCCCCCCAAGTGCCCCATCGAAGTCTTCCCGCTTCTTCCCCTCATGGAGGAACTCCTTAAACCCCTTGGGCCCGCCCCGTCCTCCCCCGAAGGGCGGTGGTCGGCGAAGATGCCCCCCTTTCTTTAGCCTCTTCTGCAAAAAATACATGTCGGCGTCAAAGCTGACGCTGTTCCCTTCACGAGGAAAAAAGGAGTTATCCACAATCTCCCTCTCATTTAAAAACGGTAGCATTTTCAGAAGGTATTCTAGGCATTCCAAGTAAATGTCGTTGATTCCGTCAGTGTTGTAGTTGTCCCCCACGTGGTGCGATCCGTCTGAGCCATCCGATCCGTTGCACTCTGGCAACTCCCTCGTGTCGCTCAAACCTGGGGAGAGCTTCCCACTCCGTTTCTGCGAGGTGAAAGCTGCTTCCCCTTTCCCCTTCCCACTTCCTTTCTTTGCCCTCTTCTGCATCACCTCCACCTTCTCATTCCATTCATTCACAAAATCGCAGTAATAAAAAATGATGGAATTAAGAAACGGCATACACCTTCTTAAGTAAACCTGAGTCGACTCAGCTATTAAGCTGTTTACTAACCGCAGAGCAAATAACTGGAAGGAGTTGTCCGACCGGAGTAGTAACGAAATGAAGTCAACACTGATGCATTTTGAAATCTTTAATTTTTCTCCTTCATGTAGGTAGCTTGTATATCTGGACAATTTTAAAATGTTTCCAAATTTGTCCTTGGTGTTGTCACTGTTTTTTATCCTTTTCAGGATGGCCTCTATCTCTTGGCTTTTGCTCAGATCGCTGTTTTTCTCCCCCATCGTTGTCTTTTTCGTTCATTTGTTTTGCGTTCATTTGTTTTCACTCTCCAGTGAGTGGGGAAGCGGAAAGGCAGCAGTGCGGAGGAACAGCGACGCGGACAAACAAACGTGGTGACAAAAAAAAAAAAAAAAAAAAGAAGTTACTTCTTCCCCCCCGGTGAGGTTCACTGAAGCAACCTCTTTCACAGCGAAAGGGTCAGTCGCGCCCATTCACAAAGTGGACGCGCTGTTATTATTTTTGCTTCTCCGTTAGGGAAGTTAGCACGGTGAAGAGGGGCGCGGTTGGCGTGGTCGTCGTCGTGAGCGTTGTCAGCGTCGTGACCGTGGTGAGCGGCACTTTGACCCGCTTGACTCTATTTTTACGAGGGGCAGATGGTGCCCGCCGAGGAGTGAACGAAGATGCAAACGGAAACGTCACCGCTATAAGTAGGCCCTCGCTGTCAAAGCATTGGAGATTCCTTTGGGGGCTTCCCTTTTGGAGCATCCTTCTGGGGCTCCCACTTCCAACTATCCCTTCTTCATGTTAAGGGTCCTTCGTACCCCTTGATCGCTTTTTTATTTTTCGGGAAAAAACAAACAAAAAGGGTGGGTTAAATGAGGAATAACGCCACGGGGACAGGCATGCGCGCATGTGCCAGTACTCATATGGGTATGCCCCTCCACATCTCCAGTTTGCAACAAAACGGGGAGACGAAACAACGTCCAACAGGCTCGTGTTGTAAGCAGCGTTATGCGGTTATTTCGCCACTTATATTTTTTTTTTTTCTTCTTTACTCATTCTCCGCTTGGGCTCCTTCCAACTGCAAATTAAAGAAAACCAATAAGAAGGGCGGAAAATATTCAACACACCGGGGTAAGGGGCACTCCACGTGCGTCCCCTTTTTGTCAAAATTAGCACAAATGGGGAGGGAGCGAAGCGGGTAGATTCTTCTATTTCGCACGTATTGGTTTTATTTGTTTTGTCTTTTTTTTTATTTTTATTTTTTCTTCATTTTTATTTTATTTCTTTTCCTTTTTTGGGAAGGTACCTTTTGTTGTTTTTCCCAAAGATAAACCCTTCGTGGGAAACCTGCATTTGTATACGTTATTTTTTTTTTTGCAAAGTACTCGCCCAGGACAGAGAACACGGGGGAGGTGGAAATGGGGCCTCACTTCTTCCGCCCCCGTACGATCACATTTTCCCACTGCATTTTTAGATTTCCTCAGACGCGGCTTACATATTTGGGGAACCCTTTGCAAAACCAGGCATAATTCCGGAAGTTTTTAGGAACACCTTTTACTCTGTAAGGGGGAAAAAAAAAAAAAAAAAGAAAGTTACAAATGGGTTGAGTTACGCGTGGTTTAGGTTTTCTTTTCCGTGCTGCTTCAACTTATTGTTGTGTTCCTCCCGCCGACGCCCTCGCCCTCTCCAAAATGGGGGCTGCTTCTTCTTACCCGTTAGCTGTGGACATCTAAGGGGGGAAAATAAGGGGAGTATCCATTTCATGTGTATTTTTTTTTTTTTTCCTTTTTCAAGCCATTTCTAAAAAGGCGTTACCGTGAAGTAGTCACAGTCGACTTCCTTGCATTTTTCTGAAAGGGATTTTTAAAAAAACAGATAACGTGAGAATCCGTCTAATTGTTTTCACGTCATACATTTTGGCAATTTCTCTTCGCATGGAGTGAGGGAAAACAAGTTTGCCTCTCCTGTTACCGTATAGGTCGTCCAAGCGCAAGGCTGAGCTCATCTCGAACACAACATCCTTCTTTTCGCACACCCCTGTAATGGTGAACAAACAAGGTGGGAGCTTCTTCAGCGTGGCAAAACCGCGACATGTGTTTTGATGTATCTGTCGGTGTGTCTGTTGGGGGAAGTTCCCCTAACGGCTGAGTATATGCAGCTCCGGACAGGGTGGCAAAAAACTTTCCCCTTTTGACACCTTGAACATTTGGAAACACTTCGTAGTTGTGGGGCAGCCTTCCGCTAACTGTCAAACGGGGGGAAATGCGGCGATGCGGTGGTGTGGCGGTGCAGCGGTGTGGCGGTGTAGCGGTGTGGCGGTGTAGCGGTGTGGCTGCGTTGCAACTGTGTCGCCATGTGGCTGCGTTGCGACTGTGTGGCCATGTGGCTGCGTTGCGACTGTGTGGCCATGTGGCTGCGTCGCGGTGTGCCTCCACGCTGCTATGCCGCTACTCCCTGCTTAAAGATAAAGGGTCGCCCGGGGAAGGCCCCTTTTTTTATCGTTTACTGTAAGACATTTTGATATAAATCTGAGGGGTAGGAATAGGGAGAAAAAATGAACAACCGAATTTGCGCTTTCTCAAAGGCATGCTAAGGGAGGCCCATTCCCCATCAGAAGCTGCCATCCGACTCTGTCCCCTCGTGCATATGGCACACATCGTTAACTCTCACCTTGGAGCTCCTATCAACTGTCGCATTTTTGTAGGAGGAGGACTCACACAGTGTGTACCCATCGGAGTTGAATATTATAAAAACGCAGTTGCTTAAGGCGTTGCACCTGATTTGGACGGGGCACACACATGAGGGGGTTCGGGTGGGGACATATGTTCACAAGGAGTGCCGTAGTGGCGTAGTGCTGCAGTGCTGTATTGATGTGACAGAGGGAAAAATAATGCGGAGAGTCGTTCCAATTCAGAATGTGCCGCATGCTTACTCCTTCTCGGCCTCGTTCACGTCTATGTATTTTTTCCTAAGCAGCGGTTTTTCGCAGAGGGCGTTTCTGCGAAAGGGGCGGAGGGGGGGAGGGTTTTCTCGTGAGAAAGGGGAAAACGCAGGGGGGGCACACTCTTCGACGTGGAGCTGCACATCGACTCATCTTCACATCCGCCCATCTGCACATCTTCCCCTTTACATGTCCTCCACATGAAGGTACAGTTCCTCCTTTACCGCTTCAGCTGTGGAATCGACAGGGGGCCAAAATGAAGGAGGTGAGTAGAACGTGAGAAGATGAGAAGAAGTCCCCGCGCTAGAGTGTGGAAACGCATGCGCCTAAACCTAAACCCGCGCTGCTCTACCCTTTTTTAGAAAAGACCTTCAAACTCAACATTCCAGGTATTGTCGCCCCCTCTTTGGGCCTTTACGTTGTCTGCAAGAGAAGTGATAAACCAAGTGGGACAACCAAATGAGTAGCACACAAAACATGTTAAGATAAAATGGCTTTGCTCCATTTTTCTCCCATTTAGGGAAGCGGAAAATGCTGGAAAGGTCTTTACGTACACGTGGGGAATTCCTCCAGCGCGTCCGACGTGCAGGTGTATTTTACGACAAGTCTGTGAAAGTCTTTTATCATGGAAAGGACTCTAAACGTTTCGTCGTTCACAGGGATCTGGGGGGTGCATAAGTGGACAGTGGGGGCATACGCAAAGTAGAGAAAAGAAAACACTGTAGTGAGGACTTCCCATCAACACTGCCACCTCCTTCTCAGTGCTTCCACCCCACCGAAGCTCACATCAAATGTGAGGCTCCACCCAAATTGTGCATTTTTACATCGCAGCTGGCTTTCCCTTCACATAACATCTGGACAACGGGCAGGGTGTGCGGTGCGTCTAAGGGGCCTGGGGGGGTCCACATGGTACAAAGGAGTTAGAGTCATCTCGTTGGAGCCTTTTTCCAAGGTGGGCCACTCGCACATGGGTGCGAATGTGCATGTCAGGACAGGCGTGTCAATGGCTATGTCAGCACGCACTGGACACGCGTGGCGTCGGCGTCATTTGTGAGATAACTTTTTTTTATCAGAAAATGATCGACGGACGGATTTCCATAGCTAGCGTCCAAAATATGGACAGACTGAGTTCCCCCGCAATGTAGAGTTATCCTTTCGTTTAAATTCCCACTTTGTATTTTTACAGGGCCATTTGCAATTTCATCGTTTGGCTTTAAGCAGAGAGACGTATATCTGCACAAGGTGGTGATTAGCACCACGAAAGGGATCAACCTTACGCGATTCATTTGGGGGAACACAAAATGGGCAAGGTGCTTGGGAGGGGGCACACAAGTAGGACGATTTACTCCAGCTGTGAAGTCTGCTTGAGAGAGGCACCCAATTGAGAGAACTCATAAAGCGAAATTTGCTTCAGAGGAAGGCGGAATCTCCCACCTCATAAATAATCCGCACAGTGTTAACGATGTTGCAATTTTCTGGCAAGTCCGTCACTGCTGGTGAGCTATGTGTAGGTACACAAAGGGGAGAAGTTGTGTGTAGGGGGGGATCCAGAACGACCTCCGCGCGCATGAAACATGCACATATCGGTACACCTTTTGGAGGAAGTGAATCCAAGACATTACCATTTATTTTCCCTTTCTTTTTTACCTACTTTAATCGGAGCGCGATGATGGGCAGTTGGCCTTCGAGTGACTCGTCCCCCACTTTGTGGTCCACTTCGGAGAAGTCAAAAAGGCGATGGAACAAACGGGGGAAGAATATGCCCAAGATGAAAATTGACCAGACGGTGGATGTTTTCTCCCCCTTTATAGTCTTCATCCCAAAACCGTTTAATTTATGCCGAACAGGGGAAGTTTAAAATGGCTTGTTTGAGGATTGTTAAAATGCAGCGCATTGCTAACTTGGCCTTCACTCATCCTTTTATGGTCTCCCCCAAATGGCAACATCTTTTTCCCAAAAAAAAAAGGCTGCCCATTATGAAGTATGTATAATATGTTTATGAACAAATGGGACAACGCCGGGCAATACCAAAAAGTGCCCATTGCGCGAGGGGGAAAAAAAAAAAAGAACAAAACCATCAAATGGGAAAGTGATCAAATGAGCAACTTCAATTTCTTCAACCATTAAAACATTCCAAATTTTTCAAAAGAGATACTTTTTCAAATTTCCTTTATTGGAGCTTCCTCAGCGAAGGATTCCTCATCCTTGAGAGGATAAAACAAAAGGAAGCCATTTGCAACAGGGGAGAAGCCAGCACCGTGGCACCTGCTCAATTCGGCCCACTAATTGTAGAACACAAGTGGAGCTTCCTCTTAAAGGGCACAAAAAATACATCTGCGTAAAATCCATCCTAGGGAATCCATTTGGCACGTTTGTCAAAAATGAATCTGTGACAGGCCAGAACGTGAGGCCAAGCCGTCGTTTGCCCCACCGCAGAGCAGGGACAGTCTTTCCCATTTACAGTTGCGCCGCGCAGAAGTATGTACATACATACGTACATACTACCCACAGTGTGCACATTTGTGTGGGCATCTCCGCTGCGACGTAAGGCCAACATGCGTCCGCGCCTTAGTCGAAGGAAGAGAAGAATGCCCCCTTCATACAAACATGTGTCACCCAAAAAATGAAAACGAACGTAGCACGGAAGGGCAGGCGACAAAAAATACCGAAAGTGCCGACACGTTAAAGAGACAGCTCAGTGAATTGTACGCCGACGAAGGTTGCCTAGGTTGCCAAAGTTGCCAACATTGCGAAAAGGGTCAACCAGAAGATACCTCCCATTTTGTTAGCAGTGCAAGTTCCGGGAAAAAACGAGAAACTGCCACGGAAGAGCATAACCCTGAAGAAATTCACCAAAGTGCAAATGCACATGAAAAGGAGGACAATGGGATACACCAAAATGGACAAACCCTAAACCCTGAAAAAACGAATACAAAAAAGCATAAATCCTCAACGGATGAACCACCAAATAGGAGGGGGAAAAAAAAAAGAAAAAAAAAATTTTATGACAATGAAGTGACCAAACCGTCGAAACAAATGATCAGAATAAATTACCTACTGCAAGCATCATTTCTAATGAATGAATTTAACCCGAACATCTCAAGGGAGTATATCAAAACGATGAGAAAACTTTCGAACAAATTTTTAATAAAATACGACAGAAAATTTAAGAAACTCTTCTGCAAAAAATGCAACTCGGTTCTCATCCCAAGTGCTACTTGCAAGGTTTCTGTTAACCCACTAAATTTGAGGAAGAAAAAAAAAAAAAAAAAAAAAGAGGAGGTGAGTAGCAATTTGAAGGGGAAGGTGAGAGATGAATTTCTGGTTTCATACCGATGTAACTACTGCCAGCATGACACGAAACTCGTTTACGAAAATGGTTTGACCGCTCAGCGCGCGAATGAAGCGGAGGCCGTCTGACGAGGATGCAGATCAAAAGTGGATGAGAAAGCGCATGTACAACGGTATAAACATGTTTAGCAGGGGGGGGTGCTCCGCAAATTGGAACAAAAATTCTGAGCAATGTGTGCAAGGGTGAGACATTTTAAAAGGGGGAAAAAAAAACCCTAACTCCTTCCCCACATGGACACACAGCTTGTAGGAATTGTTAGCTTTATTCTGTTAAAACCAGAAATGCGAAAAATGAAAAAAATTGAAGCAAACCACAGTATGGCAACACGAAGTAAACAAAATTACAAGCAATGATCCGTTTCCACAAGTAAACTTACAAAATGGAGCTTTATTTTTCCCCCCGCCCTGCCTCTTCCTTTTACTGCTTCCTTTAAATTTATGTCTTAAATATCCACAATTAGGGAACGCCAGTTATGAAGGACAAGCAAATCTGGCCCATTTTTTTTTTTTTTTTTTTTTTTTTTTTTTTTTTTGTTTGAAGTGTCTAGATTTTTTGCAACTGCACTTCATTTTCTCATTCGTAAAAGGGAAGAGTAAAAATATTCAATAGCACCTTTGTTTATTGAAATTTTCGCATAAATTTTTCCCAATTAACAGACTACGTGGAAATTAAGCCTTTTCGCCATCTCAACATCTCTACAAATTTGTGCACATGTGAGTGTGTGTACGCGAAGGGTTGCATATAAATGCGCATTTATATGTATATATATCATATGCACATATGTTTACCCATACAAATTGACACTCCCTTTTGGATAGAAATTTATTCATCCTTTTTTTATCCCCAAATGATACGCCCTTATTGCGTAAAAGTTGCTTTCCACAAGTGACAGTTCCTACCGCTACGTACACAGTTCTTAAAGCGCCTAGAGAATTCAACTGGAAAGTTATTGGAGTGGAAAATATGAACTTGGCATAGAAAAATAGAAGATATTTTTTTTTTTTTAATGAACAAAATTGATAAAAATAAAATTCGCGCATTTTTCTTAAAAAAAATATGACCATGCAATATTTTTTTTCATGTTAAAATTAAGTGACAGTATCGAAAGCTAGCCATCGTTTTCTTTTTTTCATTTTTTTTTTTTTTTTTTTTTACAACACTGCAACAATCTTGCTTGTTCCCGTTCGTGCATTCGCATGTTATTTCTACTTTGGATTACACAAAAAAAATGGGGTACAAATATTTTTTCACGAATATATGAATTTTTCAGGATATTTGCGCTTGTATGTGTTTCTTCTAATTCATCTGGTTTTAGCATCCGCTTTGTTTTGTTTTATTGTGTTTTTTTTTCCAGGTCATCCATCCACAGCACTCTTTTTAACATGTACACATATGTATAGTAATAGCCTTTTTTTTTTTTTTTTTTTTTTTTGTACCCTTATTTCTTCGCATAGCTACCAGCAACAGGATAAAATGCACATGAACAAATTTTAAAATAGCTTTTTTTTTTTTTCTTCCTTTTCTTTCTTTTGTACATGTTAAATGTTACCCATCAGCATGCTTTAAAAATTTTTTTTTCTTTTTCCATTCTCTGCACATTTTTTTTTTTGTATTAAAATTGTGATGTTGTTTATGTATACATATATGCAGGCACTTGTATAATACGTCCGTCCCTTTGTTTGTTTTTTGTAGTTACTTTTAATTGGCTAATTTGTGTAACATAAAGAAAAAAACACATTTGAGGAAAAAAGAAAGAGGCTACATAGACCATTTTTGCGCGTCACTTTTGGGCGCCATTTTTACTTGCCATTTTTACTTACCATTTTTACGTGCCATTTCTACGTGCCATTTCTACGTACCATTTTTATGCGCCCCTTTTGCGCGCCATTTTTACTCACCACTTTTACTCACCAGTTGTAATGAATAATCTCACCATAGATGGACCCAATCGACAGTAAAAACGCGGACCCGTCAGACCACTCAACAAGTGAAAGACAGGAAAACGCGGCACCGGGAATCGAAACGAGGGATGAAAACCCAAAGAAGATAGATGAAGAAGAAAAAATTGCAGCAGTAGAAGCAAATGAAAATGCTCCAACTGCTGCCAATGATGTTGTAAATGACACAAAGGCGGGGGCGACGAACTTTGATACTTCGAATAAGGACAAAAACTGCGGCATGGATCCTACTATCAACGTGATCGAGGCGAACAACCAAAATGTTTCAAAGGGAAACTCGACCGAAAAACTGACGGAAAATGAGGAAATCAGAGAGGGTCATAATGGCCTGAATGTGGAAGACGCGTCCAAATTGGTCAAAAAAGGAGCTGAACACGTGGACAAAAAGGAGGATTTAAAAGAGGGGGAGCAAGAGGCTAGAAAGGAGGCTGAAAAGGAAGACGAAAGGGAGAACGAAAAAGAGAACTTTCCAAGTAGCCAACTCAAACCGCTTGACGAAGCTCCCATGAGCAAAAACCCGGATATCATCTTTTCCCCCAAAGCACCAACCACTTTTAGCAACAGCGAGCCGTTATACATCGAAGTGAAAGGCCTCCTGCAGGTCCTTAACGCTCAGGATTTTGCGAATAACATGAGTATGAAAAGTTTAGATTTAGGAAAAAAAAACGAAACTGCACCGACCAGCAAGCGCTCACTTAGTGTGCCATACAAAGGAGTTTCGAAGGGCATTCCAAAGGACATTAACAGGCAAAGCAGTAGAAGCACTAATGCAGCTGCTGAGAAGTTTCCAGGGCTGCCCAAATCAGCAAATCTGCTAAAAAGACCCCCTCTTCCAGTTAAGTCGCCCATAATAAATCCACCAATCACATTGAACAAAAGTAACCTCCATAAGGAGGGAATTACGGGGGAAGCGTTAGACACTGGTAAAGGAAAAAGCATTTTTCGAAATTTACCAAAGAAAATCCCTTCACCGGAAGTAGTAAATATAAAGCCCAAAGCAATGATTAAAACGAATTTTGTCCCATTCAAAGAAATTAGCAAAGACGAAAAAGCGAAAGCGCTGCTGCCAAAAGAAAAAATATCTTTGAAAATTCCTCCAAAAGTGTTACCCTTTCTGATTAAAGAGAAAAGTGTTAAGCATAAAGCTCCTCCCAAGGCTAACATAAAACACACGTTGCATTATCTTAAGAGAGCTGTAGAAATAGGAAGCAAAGAAGTTGATGAATCTGCGACGGAAAGGAAAGAAGCTCTAAGTAGGGCCACTAGTCATACCAGAAAGAGCTCAGAAATGACTCGAAAATTTGTAGAAAAACCCAAAAATGCACAAAAAAGTATCCCCTTAAAGATGGAAGCTGTGAAAAGAGGAAAGGCAATTTTAGACACGAAGAAAATTTTAGCCAAAAAACCCATCTCCAAGTTAGTGACCAAATCGGAGACAAGGGAAAAAGGTGGAAAGAAACAGATTCTGCTTAAGAGTATACAGGAGAAAAAGCCACAACCGTCGGAGGCTCCTCTCGATATCGCTACCCCTAAATTAGACAACACCCCAGATGCAGATATTGAAAAGAGTCCCCAAAAGGAAGAAAAAACAGCCGAGGAAGGGGACCATGCGAACAATGAACAGAGAAACGTAAATGAAGATACCAAGGAAGAACCTCCTGAGGTGGATAAGGAAGAGGTCGTAGTAGTTGATACGGAACACATCATAGAGAGGGAAAAAACGTTAGAAGAAAAAAATGAATCCGAAATAGGAAAATATAGGGAAGACATGTACGACTTGACGAGAAGCGAAACGGAGAGGCCGGAAAGGGCAGGTGAAGGGGAGGGGGAAGTCGTGGGGGAAGCTGTCACGGTTGAAAGGGTAAAAAAGGTGGACGATGGGGATGAGCACACCGATGCGGGTGGAGATAACGACTTGGATGCAGGGAAGGGAGAAGAAAAAGGCGAAAAAGACGAAAAAGAGGAAAAAGGAGATAAAGCCGAAAAGGCGGATGGTCAAGAGCAAGGGGGAAATTCGGCTAGTGGGCCAATGGGGGTAGAACCGGAAGAGTTGGAAGGTGGAGAAAAGGGACACAAAACGGTTCAACCAGCGGAAGAGAAGGGACACGAAACGATTCAAGCAGCGGAACCGGATAAGCCGGCGGAACCAGAATCAGACGAGAAAAAGAAGGGGCTCCAAAAAGTGAACGAAGCGAAGGAGCCGAAAAAAACAAAATTCGAGGTAAAGAAAGGCGCGGACCAGAAGATAGGCAAAAAGGTGCCAAAAAGAGGCGATAACGCATCGGTAAAAAAGGATGAGGGTGGGACGCCGCTGACTATGAAGACGATTGGGAAGGCGCCGCTAACTATGAAGACGATTGGGAAGACGCCTCTAACTATGAAGACGATTGGGAAGATGCCGCTCACCATGAAGGCAATTGGGAAGGCACCGCTCACCATGAAGGCAATTGGGAAGGCACCGCTCACCATGAAGGCAATTGGGAAGGCGCCGCTCACTATGAAGGCAATTGGGAAGGCGCCGCTCACTATGAAGGCAATTGGGAAGGCTCCGCTATCCCTGAACACCTTCGGGAAGGCACCTCTAGCCGTGAAGCAAAGTGCAAAGCCCGAATTGGTCCTAAAACACAAGGCAACGATGAAAGGCAGCCCGACGTTAGTAAAATTAAAGACAAATATCACAGGCAACGTAAAAGAGAAGAAGAGCGTAAAAACTGAAAAAAGCAGCGACCCGATAAAAAGTGTAACTGCTAAGAATTCGCCCCAAAGAAAAAGCACCCTCTTTTTGAAGAAAGTTAACACTTTTAAGAAAGCTACATTGAGCAAAAATTCATTGAAAGATGTAGATGCAGAAAAGAAGAAGCTTCTAAAAAAGCTAGATACATCTATGAGTGATAAAAAGGGGAAGATAGATGCAGAAGAAAATGATTCCATTTCCATGCCAAGTAAAAATGTGTCCAAGAAAGTTTCTTCTGCATCGATTAAAAACGCCTTGTCCAATTTTAAGAAAAAACCGTTCACTAAGTCCAAGACGGACAGCATTCATGAGATCAGGTCGAACGGAGGCAACCACGACGCAATCGTGTCGTCCAAGTCAGAAAATATTCACAGCGTGTTGGAGCATCAGCAGCAGGAGCAGAGAGAAGCGGAAGAAGAGGAGTTATTTACAAAAAAGCTGCTAAGTTCGAAGGATCTAAGAGCGGGTGCAAAATCGGACTCCTCCGATGAGAGTGATGATCAAAATGAAAGTAAAAACGAAAATCAGAACCAAAATAAAAATGAAAACCCAAATCAAGATCAAAGTGCGAACGAATCCCCTCCTCCCATGGGGAAGAAGGAAGAAGTCGTCGGATCCAAGGAGGGTGAAGAATTGCCCAAGATGGTAGCAAAAAAACCCTCTTTGAAGAAATCCAAATCGCTCAAGAAGCTCAAGTCCAAGGCGAGCAAAAAAATGAACATGAGTGATGACATGTCCATTGGGGAAGAAAAGGGAACTAAAAAAATTGCTAAGCTGAGTAGCTCCAAGAAGATAAAAAGTGCCCTGTCTCAAATGAAGGTGGAGAAGAAAATGAAGAAGCTGAAATCAGAAATATTGCACAAGGCAGCGAGCGGCGTAGCCAAAATGAAAGATAACAAGGGCCCCAAGAAATATAAATCCATCACTGGAAATGGGAACAGTAAAGTTGCCAAAGAAGGACTGGGAAGCGAATCCTTGCTGCAAAAGGAATTAGTCAAAATGAAGTCTTTTAAGGATAAATGGAACAACGATTTTGTGACTCCAAGGATAGGAGGTATGGATTCATCTAATAGCTTTTTTGCTCATGACAAATCGGAAATGTCTAACGCTGATGCGTCCGATGATGATGACGCTGCCCACTCGGCTAACTCTCCTTCGGTGGCGTCCAGAAAGATGCGAAAGAAGAAGAAAATGAGTAACCGCGCGAATGGAATGCTGAGCAACCGCGTAAATGGCCCTATCATCCGCACAGAGGACGCTCCGAAAAAGAGGGGAATCCCCGCGAAGGGTAAAAAAACTGCCGCCAGCTCCACCATTAAATCGGTGGAGCATAGAACTGTGAGCGACTTGGAGCAGGAAGCACAACAAAGCTTCCTGGGAATACATAGAGACAGCAGGGCCACGAACACACGTGGTGAAGGAAGAAGAAACAACGGAGAAGAAAGAAGAAACAGGGGGGAACAAAGACGAAACAGCGGGGAAGAAAGACGAAACAGCGGGGAAGAAAGACGAAACAGTGGAGAAGCAAGCGCTGCGATGTTAAAAGTGAGAAACGCTTCCCTGTTCAATTTTAACCGAATCAAATCGACGAACACGTTGAGGAACTTATCCGTCCAAGTGAAGTTAGAATCGCCGCCCCCCACGGAAGTGCAATCCCGAGAGGAACCCAATTTGAAGGTAAACAATTTATGCTCCAGAAGGCCATCAGTTAGCAGAAGGACAAGTGGGATGATCACGCAAAATACCAGTTGGATGTTTGACACATGTTGCTCAGTGGGGAATAACAGCACTACTACTCCCTATGTCGACGAGAGAAAAGAACCCGCGGTTCAGAATTTCAGCTCCCTCTTTAATGTGAATAATAAATATATGCCGCGAAGCAGGAATTTACAAATGGCTCTCCTGTCTGGCAACAGCGTAAAGCTGTCAAATGTTTACGAGTCTGATTTGCTGGGCAGAGGGGGGGAATGGACGCTGAACAGAGAGACTCTGCGTGGGTCGCTCAGCGGCAACAAGGCCAGCGACGGGAGCCCCTTGCGCAGACCGGTCAGCGGATTGATGAGTAGTCCGCCGAGCAGGCCGATGAGCAGCCAGGTGATCCGCCGAGTGAACGGCCAGATGGGCGGTCAAATGGGGAGAGACCAGATGGGCGGCCAATTGAGGAGAGGCCAAATGGGCGGCCAATTGAGGAGAAGCCAACTCAGCCACCAACTGGACGGACGGAATAGCCTCCCCCTGAACTGCAAAATGAATTCTGCATCATACTCTAATAGATCACTCCTAAATAATAGCGGCCCCCTGGAGTTAAGAAGAAGGCCATCCTGCAGCACAACAGTGAATTACTGCAGTTGTATATAGAAGGGAGGGGGGGGTGCTGTGTGATGGGAGAGACTTCCCGGAATGGTTCCCTCTGTCGATCCTCCAGGACGATTCTAGTGCTTCTTGGTGGATCATCATTTCACCCGTGGGGATATATTTCCCTCCCGAAGTGTCTGCAACCGTGAGGAAGTTATAAAATGTATACGCAAAAGTAGGTACGGGGTAGGTACATACATTATTTGAACATTCTACCAACGTGATACATTATTTGAACATTCTACCAACGTGATGTTTTTTTTTTTTTTTTTTTTTTGTTTTTTTTCCACCCCTCTTTTTCATTATCAAAAATGTTACCCTTTGCTTGTTTTTGTCTCCATCCGATCGGTGTCGATAATTCTTTCGTAGAATTAAAATTTCGTAGCCTTACATGACATGAGCAATATAATTAATTATTTTACGCCCAAAGTGGAGGGAACGCACCTTTTTTTTCTCTCCCCCTTGTTGTATACGTCGCGGTACACATTTTGATACGCACATATGTGGCCCCGCCTCCTGTTGGGTGCTTCCCTCTTTCCTTTTGCATTCCTTTTGTTTTTGTTTTTTTTTTGTTTTTTTTTTGTTTTTCTTTTTGTTTTTTTTTTGTTTTTCTTTTTGTTTTTTTTTCGTTTTTTTTCGTTTTTTTTTCGTTTTTTTTTCATTTTTTTTTTGCCCCTCCGCAGTAATGTGCATTCAGAGACAAAGGTTACCCTTATGGGTGCCTACATGGAAAACGAGTGCGGCGAACATTATTTCGTGCCCACCAGGCAATCGAAAAGGATTGGATAATTTTGCAAAATCAAAAAGGGGGGGAACGTTGGCTACGAGGGAAAAAATATCACTTAAGTGTCACTTAAATATCACTTAAGTGGCACTTAAATATCACTTAAATGTCACTTAAATATCACTTAAGCATCACTTAAATATCACTTAAGCATCACTTAAATATCACTTAAGCATCACTTAAATATCACTTAAGCATCACTTAAATATCACTTAAATATCACTTAGGCCAAATTAACCGTTAAAAAAGGGCAACGAATTGGGAAATAAAAAAAAGAGAGAAAAAAAAAATGAAGATCAAAAAAAGGGGGCACGCAAGTAGAAGACACGCAGAAATGGCTTCTTCCTAATATGCTCATAATGCTCTGTTGTCCGATTTTTCTTCTCCTTCCTGTTAGTGGTTCGTCGTTGGGCCCACCTTGCACTTGTTCAGGTGCTTTTTCAAGTGGTCATTTTCGTGATACAGGTGGCTGATGTGCCTTCTGTATAAATCAATTTGCGTTTTGTACATGGGCAGGAGGTTCCCTTGGCTACTGGACGGCACAGGCTGTGTCTCCCCCAATTCTACCCTGCTACAGAGCGGTGGTGTTACATCTACCGAGGCCCCCTTCTGTGGCTTCTCTTTCGTCCGCACATTAACCGAGTTGGCCTTAATCAAACGTTCATTTTTTCTAGTGAGCCTCTGCTTGTTTTTCACCAAATTGTGTGTGTAAAAGAGGAAGTCTTTTATCACACTTTGTTGCAGCTTAATTAAATTTAAAGAGTCATTGTAGCTCTTAATTAACAAAGTTACCATTTGGAACGTCTTTTCCGAATGGGGAGATTGGTTCAGCACGTCATAGGTTGGAACATGGACATGCTTTACCATCACTTCGTCGTTAAAAATGTGGAAATTGCTCTTCTCATCGCACGTCATAATTTTTTCGGTGTATGTAGAAAGGGACAAATCATTTTCATACAATGTGTCATTAATAAGGGTTATGTCATTTTCACTGAAAAAATGTGGCTGAGCAGATTTTGTATTTAATTTTGTTTTTCTCTTTTCTTCCTCTTTTTCTTTCTTCCTCTTTTGCTCTTTTAACTGCAGAAAGTTCAGGATGTATTTGTTTGCATAAATTACATTTTCACTGTCATATGTTATGTCCTCCTTGTAGACATTCGTGACTTTTCTTCCTTTGTCTTCTTCATTCTTTATGGCACTTAACAAATTTAGTTCTCTCAGGAGGAAGAAGTTTTTAACGAGCCTCTTGGCAATTTTTATTTTGTCTTCCTTGTACGTATCTTCGCATTGGATGTCTTGGCTAATCAGTTTGTTTACATCGCCGCTGCTCATTTTTGTTGTCTGCCCCCTTCGGTTGGGTAATTTACGTCGGTTTTGCTCGTCTCCCTGCGTCTGCGTGGGGGCATATGTACATACGGACGTGAGCATATATGCAAATAGCCGTCCATGTGTTTTTGCCCCACTTGGGGGTTGCCTTCTTCGCCCCTTTTGTAAGTCTCCCCTCGCTATGTCGGCCTCTTAACAGTTGTAAAAATATTCACTGCTCTTTTTCGCAATTTTGCAACTTCGCAATTTTGCAATTTCGCACTTTCCGTTGTTGTCGCCCCAGCCATGCTTGCTCGCTCCTCAAATGTTAATGTGAATTTTTCGCTCAGTTGCCGCTAATTCCTGACATGAGGAATGAACATATTGATGCATGCGTGGGATAATTATACATGCCTATTTCGCGCATGTGATAACGTGAAAGGGGGAAAAAATGAAAAGGGACGTGGAAACAAAATTACGAGTGGGGAAAGAAAAGTTCACGAGGCGGCGGACGCACATATGGTAACACGCGCGCCGCGTTATTATACATGTATTTTTTTTACGTTATGATGTGCCCATGTGTACGCGTATATGCGCACATGATAGGCAAACAGAAAAAAAATGTACTTTATGTATACACGTACAAACCGCAGTGATATGCAACATATGAGAAAAGAAGAAAAAAAAAGAAAGGATTAAACAAAATGAAAAGTTTCACTGCTTTAATCCGAATTTGTTTGTGCGAGTTATTGGCGCCATTCGTTTTCCATGGCCATTTTTTTAAACCATTTTTTTAAACCACTTTTTTAAACCACTTTTTTAAACCATTTTTTTAAACCATTGTTTTTAGGCATCATACAGATGTTCAGCGTTTTGCGTTCAGCGATTTCCGTCTTGTGTTTTCCGTTTTGCGATTTCCGTTTTCCTTTTTTGAAACATTGCATTCGTTTAGCGAAGTGTTCAGCTCGTTCGCCCCTTTTTTTTTAACCCCCCATTTTCGAATGCGGATGGACAGCATAAATTCTTTAATTTGTCGAACTCTGAGTTTTTGAATTTTCGAGCATTGTTTTAAAAGCGCGAAATGTGGCCACTGCTGCTGCAGTTTCTGCAGCTTTGTGAGCAATTCTTTTAGAGGGAGCCCGGCGTTGTCCTCTTCCCTTTTGAGTGGCGTGGCGACTTGGGGAAAGCAAGCTGTGAAGGCGTTTTGTTGTTTCGTTGTTTTGTTCTTTGGCTGTTTTGTTGTTTTGTTCTTTTGTTGTTTCTTTGTTTTGTTCTTTGGCTGTTTTGATGTTTTCTTGTTTTTCTCCTTTTTTTTGTTTTTTTTTGGTCCCGTTTGAGTTCTTCACCGCGGTTGCTATCCTCGTGGGAACTCTTAACGTTAAGCCGATGTGCATGCTGTACACACTTACACGCATACGTGTAACCCGTGCGAAATCCCATTTGGGTTAAAATTGGGATTGTTTTCCCCCCACACCCACACACATACAGAACACCCCTGTCTGGCGCCTAGCCGCTCGTACGTTGCGGCGTACATTCGTGCAGAGCGCCCCTTTTCTCCTTTTCCCCTTTTCCTCTTTTTTTATCCCCTCCAAAAAAAATGTTCTGTTGTTCCAAGAACATATTAGACACGGTGGAGAAGAGGAAGGACTACCTAATGTACGCGGGAAAAGAGACAAACGATGAGAGAAATGAATTAATATCAATATATGGCAATGAAGTATCCCTCGTTGACATTTTAAGAAGAGGAAATGAGCCGACGTCCAAGGAAAAGAGCGGCACAGTTAAGAGGATACCGTCGGTATGTAAATCCAATGTGCTCCAATATTATGAAGCGAAATTTTTGAAGGGAAAAAGTGCCAAGGGGGCATCCCTTACAGATATAAAAAAAAACGAAGAAGCGAGAGAAAAAAAAACAGATACACGCAAGTCACACTATGATAAATATAATGAGGATCTTATTCAGGACAAGCACCAGGCGGATGAGTTTACTCATTTGAGTACAAAGCACAAATTTAAAGCTTTGAAGGAAATACAGAGGCAGCTGAAAAATTGCGTAAAGGACCAGGAGTTTAGCTTCCACGATGATATTTTGTTTTTGAACATATACAGATTAACCCACAAGAAAATATATTCCCTGCTTGACAGGAAAGAGAAAAATGTGGTAAGTTTGGAGGGGTCCCCACGTGATGCGCGGGTGGGTGAGCGAATGGCTGCATGGTTCTGTACGTGTAGGCACATGTCTATGCCTGTGTGTATGCTCAAGTCTATGCCTCTTTATATACGTGCACTCCCCTCTCCCACCCACCCCTGCACAGGACTATTACAACTGCAACGAAGTCCTGGACATGATACTAAACGGGAAGCTACACAAACACAGCCTAATTAAGCGAAAATCGGAGGAGCAGTATGTGTACCTAAAAGAAAAAATCAGAGAAATTCATTTTTTAAAAAATATTGAGCTACAGTACTATCTCAAAGTTAAGAAGAACATACCCTCCATGAAACCTAAATTTGAAGAAAATTACACAAAGGAAAACACTCTATTTCTGGAATTCAGCGAAGCATTATTAGCGGAAAAGGTAAAGTCATTAAAACGGTTCTTTGTTTCTCCCTACTGCAAAAACGTTGTAGAAATAGTTTTAATACCTAAGAAGAAGAACTGGAACAGATCTTATGGGCATCATAAGATTTTCGCCGATCTTTTTGTGACAAAACATATTTCTGTATACTTTTATCACATCATTGAGAAAAAAATGGAAAAGAATAATCTGGCACAGAAGACAGGTCCTATACAGTTAAGAATAAAATTGAAGACAAACTACCCCCAAGCAGTAAAGACCATTTTCAGATACATATACGACAAAAATTTGAACCTTGACGAATTAGATTTTAAACTCTTGGTGACTGTTTATATGGAGTGTCTTAATTTGAAAATTGCGAGCATCATGGATGACGTGATTGAGGTGATTTCTCAGAAGGCCACCTTCGACAACATCATTGGGGTGCTGGGGCTGGCGTCCAGCTTTGGGCAGATCGCGAGTCCCCTGTTTAACGACTTCGCGCGAATCATTTCGGACTCGGGGGGGTACCTCTTTGCGAGTAAGCCAACGAAGCGCTCGCATCAGGGTAGAGTGTGCACGTGAGAGTGAGCATGTGAGAGTGAGCATGTGAGAGTGTACACTTGATAGTTTTCACGCGAAAATGTCTACGCGTGAAAATGTAAAAATGCCCGTTCCCCCTCACCGCTCCCCCCTTTTCCCGTCCTAACTCCACAGGAAATTACCATTACCTGCTGGACAGTGAAACATACAGCCACTTGCTCAGCAGCGACAACGTCGTCTTGAACGAAATGAGGCTCTTCATTGAATCCGTAAAATTCATAATCAAGAAGAACTGCGACATGAGAGAACAAAATTTAATTTTCCAAAACATCCGATTCAACCTCCTATCCACGGAACACCTCTACGAAATTCACCACTATATAAAAAATTGCTTCGAAGACATTATAAATAACAAGTACGACGAGACGAATTTCATTTGCATGAGATATCGACCCTCGAAATTGAGCATAAAGGGAGAGTGTTCAAATAATGACCACATGGAACCTTCGAATGAAGCGAATTCAGAGAGTAAAGAAGGTGATCAGGGGGACAAATCAGATGATGTAAAGACAAAGGAAGAAGTCACACCTGTTAGAAAACCCCCCAATTTGTCATTTTCTGAAGAAATAAAACATTTGAACGAATTTTACAAAATAGTAAATAAAGAAGCATTTGAACCGCCGTACATTAGTAAGAAGAAAAAAGAATTATTACCCATTAAGGGAATAACCATTTGCATGAAGAATATTTACAACATCCTTCTTGATCATATTTTCCAGAAAATGGGAAATCAAAAAGAGATAAAGGAGAGATGCAGGTTATGGAAGGATAATGAAAACTTCTTGTGTGTAAACGATTTTACCATGGAGAAGTACTCCTTCCAATTAATTAAAAAGAAAGAAAGTACACATAAGGATGCTTTCACACATGGAGACGAAAGGTTGATAAGCGAATGTAGATTGGTATACCAAATCGTACAAAGTAAAGAGAGTAATATTTCCATCGGAGTGATGTTAAAAAAGAAGGAATTAAACAATTTATCCACTCAACAGAATTGTAAAATTCCAGGCGCGTTACTCGAATGTAGTCATCCACTGGTAATTTATTTTGACTTTTTTGTAAATGATTTTTACGTGTGCAATGTTGACAATAGCAGCTCCACGTTACTGAATAGGAGGAAGCTGAACATACATGCACATGAAAATAAATTGCAAAATGGGGACATCATTATTTACAGCGTAGCCGTTATAAATCAGGCCCTCAAAATTGACATCACAATATTACCAAAGGATATCAGCTTTTCCTTCTCCTTTGCGCTGCTAAAACTGACCATTTGGGGGGGGCAGGTGATAAAGAAGCCCTTCATCCACGTGACGCCCTTTTTCGCCCTCAAGGATGCGTTAGACTCTATTTCGGTGCCCATCGTGAAGTTTTAACTGCGCCCGGGCATTTGGAGAAAGCGGGCTGGCCACATGTAAAGATGTTGCTATACGTATGTATGGATGGATGTATGCATGTATGTATATATATTTGTGTGCACGTCTGTCTACGGATCTGCACGTACACGTAAACATGCCTGTGTTGCTTCTTCACCGTCTGGTGTTTTTTCTTTTGTATCTGGCGTCACAGGGCCCCACTCGCACAAATGCATTATTTTTTTAATCCCATTATGACCCCCCTTGGTGAATTTACTTTTTCACATCAGAAATTTTTTTTTTATTTTATTTTTTTTTTTTGCGTCAAAAAAGTTCTTTTTAATTTGCATAGCGCAATTCACATGAATTCATGACATGTGCATTTATATGTTTGCAAAAGCAATAAGCATATGAGATGCTTGCGTTCATATGCGAGCACCGTGAGCGCGGTATGTATGCAATGCTATATACACAAGAGTGTATATGTGGGGTGGACAGCTGAGCATTTTGCCAAAGGATAGATAAAGCAGCGCTCCCTTGCTCTCTTTGCTAATATTTCGTTTTTAATTTTTGAATCTTTTTTTTGAAGTTAGTTTTTAAGTTAACCTCCTTTCGTTTTACTCCTTCGAAGTGATTTTTATTTTTATTTTTTTTCTTTTCGCTTTTTTTTTTACATAGCTATGCATTTTTCTTTTTTTTTTTGCCTACACAATGTTGCCTTGTTTTTTTTTTTCATTCAGCAAGAATTTAGTACTTTTCTGTTTTGTCAAATTATATAACACTTTTAAATGCTTTAAAAAATTTGACACTTTATAATTAAGCACAGATGTTTTTTCATCTGGTTTGAATTTGCCACATGATGATGATTCCTAGTCGTCCCTCCCCTTCTTTTAATATGCATGAAAGTTTTTCTACGCGGTAGAGCTCGTCGCGGCGTCACACCTCTCACTTGCATCTTTTTCCCCACCCGGCGCATCAAACGAGAAAAGAAGAAAAAAGAAGAAAAAGGAAGAAAAAAAAAAGAAAGAAAAATTCGCCAAATTAGCAAAATTAGCAGAATTAGCAAAAAGGGCCCCTCCTTCGGGATATACCACTTCCTCTCATCATACAGCCCAGTCCAGCAAAGATGACTAAAAAAATTTCTAAGGTATCAAAGCAACTGTGTGTACGCTGAGATTCGGTTCTCTGGTGGACTGATTGATTCATTTTTTTTATGCGAAACGAGGGGGATATAAAACGGATGCACAGAAAAAAAAGGAAAAATATAAAACGTGGTACATAGAACATAGTCCACAAAACGTAGTCCACAAAACGTAGTACGTAGAACGTAAGAAAAGGGGCAACTTAAAAACATTAGAACATAAACAAATTGACAGATGAAGAGTCCCAAATTCGTCAATTAACCAATTGGCTAGCCAACCAACACATGGGCACAAAATTTTTGTATGTTCACATCTGTGTGGGCCTTTTCGTCACCACTTAAAATCATGCCGCTCAGCAAAAGTCTGTTCTCATTTGCTTATAGTTATTTTATTCCTTTTTTTTTTTTTCTTTCTTTCATTTTCCTGGGGGCAACCAAAGATGAACAAACACATCTGTATCTTTGGAGGCTCCTTTGATCCACTTACTCATGCGCACGAAATGGTCCTCACAGAGCTCAGCAACCTAGACTGGATAGACGAGATATGGGTAGTCGTCTGCAGGTGTCGAAACGATAAGGACCTAGCCGAATTCGAACATAGACATAATATGTTTTCCCTAATCATGAATAAGAATTCCCCTAAGATGTTAAAAAATAAAATTTTCTTAAAAGATATTGAGTGCAAAGAAACTAGCACTCCAACTTATCATTTGCTGAAGATGCAAAAGGAGAAATATCCAAATTATAATTTTTACTTTACTATTGGGTCGGATCTTCTGAATGACATTTTTTCTTGGGATAATGGAGAACAGCTAGTTGCAGAAAATAACTTCATAATATTCGAACGGGGGAATTTTAAAATCGATGAAAATGTGCTGAAGAAATTCCCAAGTTTCTATTTAATCAAAATTGAAAATATGTCATTTATTAATTATATTTCTTCAACTGACGCGAGGAAGTTGTTATCCCAGAAGAAAAACTCAGAAGATCTGAAGAAGTATATCCACCCTGTCATTATTAACTATATAAAAGAACATAACTTGTATGATTACAACTAGACGTAGCGCTTAGCTTAGCGTTTACGTTAAATTAGTTTTCTGTCACTGTCGCAGTTGGGTTGGGCAGTAAAAAAAAAACACTTCTATTTGCTGCCCACCTCTCATTGCTCCCTAACTATACATTACATGTCACCAGTTCTCCGCTGCGAGGTTCGCACTGCATGTCACGCGTTAAACATATTTACACACTTTTCTTCTTACTCTCTATCGTAAATTTTGGCTCCTTTTTATTTTTTGAAAAAATGTTTTGAAGTAATAATTAAATATTTTCATGATGCGTTTTCATAAATGTAGACGTTTATTTTTGAAAATAAATGGACCATATATTAATTATTATTTTTTTCAGCAAAAGCATCTGTCACTGTGTGTGTGCCTCCTTTCTTTTGATAAAAGGTGAGTAATTCTTGGAAACGTGGGGAAGCCCTCAATGCACGTTTTTTTTTCGTTACTTTCTTCGTCTTCGTTTTATCCATTCTCTTTTTTTGTGCACGTTCTCCCTTTTTTGGCCTGCATTGCTCCACACACACACACTTCGCCTATCTTTGCTCCCCTTCTATTTTCCTTTTTACCCCCTATTCATTTAATACGATCCCATGGTACAACTCATTTTATGGGTTAAAGAAAAAATAATTTTTTATAGTGACTCCAATAATGCGAGTGATAAAAAAGAGAAGATAAAATCTGCTCTTCCCCCTACTCGTGGGGCTCACCACCATTGCTTTAGACGTAGTTATGGATATCCACCCCGGGGAAACATTTTCACTAACTATAACACTTTTTTCCTTTTTCCCCCCTTTGGCAATTTACGCGCCTTTCAAATTGCGCCCATCCGGTGCGCGCTTCAAACAGACCTACCTATGTTAATTTTTTATTCTTCAATTTTTTTCTTAATGCTACAACGAGGGGTGGTAAAATTACCCCGTCTTCTTTCATCACATTGGTTAGATCACCGTTATCGTCATCTTTCTTAACAGGCTCCTCCGGGTTGTTCATTTCTTCACAGGATTTTAAAAAATAGGCATCGGTTTCTAACGTGTTGTTCATATCATCCGACTTATTTTGGTGTATTATAGTCTGATACGGCGCAAAGGACACCATGGCTTTGAACTTACCACCATTTGAATCGTAAAAGAATTTCCCATGTTGTGTCTTTATAAATTCCTTTGTCTTCAAATCATCCTTAAAGGATAAGTACATTCGTGAATGCGTTATATCGCCCCCCGGATTTTCTGGTACACATCCGTTTACATAGTAATAATAATCTAATTCATCTTTGAGGCTGCTTGGGAAGGACTCAAAAAAATTGTCTTCACTTAAAGTTGGTGGTAAATGTCGAATGATGATTTTTTTCTTATGTACACAGGATTGTTCCTTTTTCAGTAAAGTTATCAGCAGATCTTCTTGTTTTTTTAATACCTTTTCGCTCTGCGATTTTTTAACATGGTTACTGTCTGCATTATGATTTTCTTTACTATTCTTTGTTATTTTATCACGGCTTTCTACTTCATGCCTCCTTGTGCTAAGTGATTTTCTATTACATTCGTAGTATTTTAAGTCTTCGTATTTTTTTTTCCTTTCGATGGTGTTTTTTTTGCTATTATCTTCCCGTTCTGTGAGTTCTTCCTTTGCTTCATTGGAGTGTCTTCTGTTGCTATTATTATTTTGATTTTCATTCGTTTT